CTAGTTTTTTGTTTTGTTTTGTTTTGATGTGCCCAAATAGGCTGGTTGTGTGAGCTACTTTGATTATTGACATGTTTGAAGCTCTCTCATCCTGTTTCTAGGTGGCTAGAGCTGTTACTAGGTATGTGAGTCCAGGAGTCTGTTTACTTTTCTTGTGTGGATTCAGCTCAGATGTTCCGGTCGTTGGTTACTAGGTGTGTGGTTTACGTTCTCATCTACATTCCTAAACGGGCTGGGGGGATTGGAGTAAGTACAGATATCTGGTTGCAGTAGGGGGTCATGCACTTATCAAGGCAGGGGGTTGACTGTTGCTCCTGAGTGTCTGGGTAGAAGGCATGTCCCTGTTCTCTAGAGGGTAGGTAGGTGGGTTTTCCAACTGGACTATGCACACCCAATGCTGTTGGCTGTAAGGACTGGGAGTCACCACTTATTCTTAGACCCCTGTCGAGGGCGGCTCAGTGGATTGAGTGGAGCCAGCAGTTCTCAGGCCCCTGATATGGGTAGGTGAGGACCCTGCTTAATGGGCAAGGTGGTGTCAAATGCCATGAATCTGCCACTCCCCCTTAGAGCTGATACAGTTGAAAATAGGCTTCAGGAACATACCCTGTTGTATCGTGCTAATGAGGGCCTACGCTATTGAAATGGGCCCACACAAGTCTATGCAGTGGTGAAAGGCATTCAAAGTCTGGACTTCTTATGCCTGTGCGTAGGCAAAGGGGGCTGTGCCTGCCCTGAGTTCCCAGCTTGGAGAGCTGGCAGATTATTTTTTCCTGTTTGTTAATTTGTTTCCTCTCCAAAGCCAGGAGAATGAGTCAGGGCACTCAACAGGTCCTACTTCTGGCCCAGGGCATGCAGCAATCACTGAAGCTGGACCGGGACCTGGAGCAGAACAGGGAGGGGACAGGTAAATGGGAAAAAGGTACTTCCCAAAAGGTGGGGGTTTGATCCGTGCAGTAGGTTAGATGCTCGTACTTATCTTTCACTGATGGAGCCCTGTTTCTCTTTCATTCTGGAGGCTTGAGTAGACTCTCTGTCACTCATTCTTTCCTGATGTGGAAAATGCATCCTGAGCATCACCGCTTGTCTCACTCCTTGCATGCTAACTGATCCAGACTGCAGGATGCCCGGGCTGGCCAGGTAAGGTCTAGCAACTCCTCGCTGCTTCTGAACCATCTCTCCCTCCCCCTGCCGTTCATTCTGATTCCTGAACTTTATCTTTGATGTTCAGGGCTCCTAGATTGTCATATATAATCAACTAACTTGTTTTTTTGGGTCTTTGTTGTAAGAGGGACCACAGGAAGTGTCTGACTACTCCACCATTTTGGTCCCACGTCCCAGTAGATTCATATTTTTCTTTATCAAAGATACTACTTTTTCCCCTAGTTGGTTGTCTTGGATTGAATTGTGTCCCCCAAAAATGTATGTATCAATTTGGCAGGGCCATGATTCCTAGTATTTTATTATTGTCCACCATTTTGTCATCTGATGTGATTTTCCTATGTGTTGTAAATCCTGCCTGTATGAGGTTAATGAAGGTGGATGGGTGGCAGTTGTGATGATGAGGCAGGATTCTATCTACAGGATTGGATTGTATCTTGAGCTGTTTTCTTTTGGGATATAAAAGAGAGAAGTGAGCAGAGAGACAAGGGGACCTCATACCAGCAAGAAAGCAGTACCCGGAGAAGATCGCGTCCCTTTGGACCTGGGATTCCTGCACGTAGAAGCTCCTAGTCCAGGGGAAGATTGATGAGAAAGACCTTCCTCCAGAGCCAACAGAGAGAGAAAGCCTTCCCCTGAAGCTGACACCCTCAATTTGGACTTTTAGCCTACTTTACTGTGAAGAAATAAATTTCTCTTTGTTAAAGCCATCCACTTGTGGTAGTTCTATTTTAGCAACACCATATAACTAAGACAGTAGATGATTCTTTTCTCTTCAAATAATTGTCCTTAACTATTTGAAGTGGTGTAATGGTTAAGGTTGTGTGTCAGCTTGGCTGGGCCATGATTCTCAGTGGTTTGGCAGTTATGTAATGATGTATTCATCCTTCATGATATCATCTGATTTGATCAGCTAACCAGTTGTAAGGGGAGTTTCCTCATGGGTGTGGCCTGCATCATATATATACATGAACATTCTGCAAAGCTCACTCACTTGCTCTGGATCCTACATCCAGCTTGTCATCATCTGACCTCCGGTTCTTGCTACTTGAGCCAGCAGCCTGCCATCTTACCTGTTGATCTTGGGTTCTTCAACCCCTGCAGCTATGTGAGTTAGTCCCATGGACTTGGGATTTTCTAGCCTTTACAAGCACGTGAGCTATTTCAGTGAGATAAATCTCTCTCTATATATACGTACTTGCTTCACTGGTTTTGCTTCTCTAGGAAACCCAGACTAAGACAGGCAGAAACTCATAACAGCATTGTGCACCTTGATAAAGGTGGAAGTATCAAATTTATAGTGTCCCCAAATCTCAAGAATATGGCTGACAGTAGATGGTCAGAGCTCCTTACAATTAACAAAGCAGTACCCATGTGATTTTAGGGCATCAGTTTGCAAATGTGAATGACTAGAAGTCTACCATGAGCCATGATTTTTTCTCTATGTTCAGAGAAGGACACGTGTGTGTGTATGTGTGTGTAAGTATGTGCGTGTATACATTTGAGTGTTTAATAGACTTTTTTTGGAGATTTTCTGCTTGTTTTTGTTTGTTTAGGGCTTTTTGTTTTGTTTTGTTTTTTGCTGATGACCCAGCTTTTGAGACACATCTTTGGAAATGTAATGTCTAAGGCAATAGTTCTCAAGGTGTGGTCCTTAGACTAGCAGCAACCAACGTGTGTATGATCCTCAGCCCAACAGCATAAGCAACACTCGAGAACTTATTAGAAATGCACATTCTTGGGTTCCACACCAGATTGGCTGAATGTATGTTTTTTACTACTGCATAGCAAATTACCACAAATTTAATGACTTAAACTAACATAAATCTATGGTTTCCAGATGTCATGAGTCTGAGCATGGCTTAGTTGTATACTCTGCTCAGGTCTGGAAAAGCTGTATTTAAGAGGTCTGCTGGTCTGGTGTCTCACATGAATCTTGAGATCCTCTTCTAAGCTCATACATGTTATTGGCAGGATTCAGTTATTTGTGGCTATATAACAGAGGCTGCCAACTAGTAGAGTCCTCCCACTGTTCCCTGTCATGTGGACTTCTCCATAACATGACAGTTTGCTTCTTCAAGGCAAACCTGAGAGCATCTTCTTGTCACTTACCTCTAGACCCTCTTTTAAAGGGCGCATTCAACTAAGTCAGAACCTACCCAAAATACTTTCCCCTTGGAATAATTCAAAGTCAACTGATTAGGGACTTAATTACATCCACAAAATCATTTCACTTTTAGCATAACCTAACCATAGGAATGATATTCAGTCATATTCACAGGTCCAGCCTACGCAAAAGGGGAGGGAATTATATAAACATATGGATCATTGGGACAATCTTTTAATTCTGCCTACCAAACTCAGTAAAAGAAGTCTGGTAGTTGGAGCCCACAATTATGCTTTAACAAGCCTTCAAAAATGTTTCTAATGCCTGCTAAATTTTAAGAAAAACTGTGAAAAGTTGCTATTCTTGCCACCAACTGACTTCATAGGAGTAAAGAAAATATTTTTTCAGTATCGTTTTCAGTCTGGTTTTAGTTTTATCTCTTTGCTTGCTTATTTGTTTTTATTTTAGGTTAGGCAAATTTCAATTTATAATGAACTTCCCTGGATTACCATGTTTGAGGAATAGCTGTCTAATATTCTGATATAAAAGTCTTCTGACTGCAGTGATATTAGATCAGCTTCCAGCCTATGTCCTTCCTCTTAACAACCTGGGTTTTAACTTCTTGGCCTTGACCCTAGAGTTCAGCTCTATATGTATGTGTTGGGGGAAGGGATGTGTGTGAATATATATATTTTAAGCCTTGTTGTATAAATGGAAACCTTTCTACTTCTCTAAGAGGTATCAAAACTGGTATTATGTTGTAATGAAGTGGCCTCAACCAGATTAAACAGATAACCAAAACCAAAACCCGTTGCCCTCTATGAACTGTTGAGGAACCCTGGTTAACCCTTTATCATTCCTCACTGGATCTAATAACTCTTGTCAAATGGCTGAAGGTTTTTACTCTTTTAATATTCATTTAGCAGTAAAAACAGCAGGAATTAAGAATCAGAATTTGGAGTTAATTTCTAGCTCAGTTCACCTTGATGAAAGAATTTAACCTCCAGACCTCATGTCCCAAGTGAGTAAAATAAGGATAACAATAATCATGCTGAACTGAGACAAATGCTGAGAAGAGTAAATGAATCACAGGTACCTGGCACATAGCAGAAACTTAATAAACATGAGGTCCTTCTTCCTAAAAGAATAAAATGTACCTCAGAAATAATCATAATTTTATTCTTAACTACCCATATATCATTATTATAAGTTAACTTCTTGGTTTATCCAGAATCTGAGAAAAGAGTATGGTAGGAAAAAAAATATATATTTGATGAAAGGCTTTCGGTGAGAAGGCAGGAAACAGAAAACATCAAACTTTGGTGAATTCTGATGTTGGATGGCTGCCAGCTAAGAGAGGCGCTTAGTCATGTTGAGATCAGTGATGGTAGAAGATTTGTGATCATTCTGACAAAAACACCCAGAATGCTGTGAAATGAATTAAAAACAAACAACAAACCAAAGATTCAGAAACCTGTTTTCTACTTGGCACTCTGGTGTACATTGGTGGAAACCCACCTTTGTAACTACTTTTCTTTCTTTGCTCTTTGGACCTCTTTATTAATCATCTGGGGGGGTTGTGGGATAATAATGTGTTGTGAACTGTCTTTTAGAGGTTCAAGAAAAGGCAAATAAAGGGGGAGTTACAGGCCAAGACCAGATCCAATACTTCCAAGCACCATCAACTGCCCTCAGTGGAGACGGCTATCAGGGCTTGGTGTGCAGGCAGATGTCCTTACTCCCTTCCTACCTCTCTGTTACCCAGCAGCAGCCTCCTCAGTGCCCCCTTGACCTCTTTGTTTCTGAGGGTGTAGTTCAGGGAGTTCAGGAGCAGAGTGACAATGTTGTAGAAGAGGGTGAGGAATTTGCCCTGGTCCTGGGAGGAGCTGTTTCCTGGTTGCATATACAAGTAGATGATGTTTCCATAGAAAAGTGAGATGGGGGCCACAAGTGTTAAAGACCTTTTGCCTCCCTGATGCTCCTTGAATTTGTAGCATGGCTTTCAAGATGTAGCCATAAGAGACCAGGATAAAAACCAAAGGTGAAAGCACAATGCCCATCGCCAGGACAAAGACAGTGCCTCAATGACCACAGTGTTGATGCAGGCCATCTGGATCAGGGCTGACATCTCACACAGGAAGTGGTCCACATGGTGGTGCCCACAGCAGGATAAGTGCAGAGTCACTGGAGACATGACCAAGGAGTTAGCCACCCCACAGCCCCAGGCCACCAAACACCAAGCCCAGGCAGAGCCGTGGATTCATGATCACCATGTAGTGCAGGGGCTTGCAGACTGCAACAAACTGGTCATATGCAATGACAGCCAGGAGCAGGCACTCTACACCACCTAGACCTAGGAATAGAAAGAGCTAGATAGCACAACTGGCATAGTTGATGGTCTTGTCACATCCGTTAAGGTTATAGAGCAGCTGGGAGATGGAGCTGGTGGTGAAACTGAGTCCAGGAAGGAGAGGTGGGTGAGAAAGAAGTACATGGGTGTGTGGAGGTGAGGGTCCAGCCAGGACACCAGGATGATGGTGGTGTAGCCAACAAGGGTCAGGAGATAGGCAATCAAGATGACCACAGAGAGGATTCTCTCCAGATGGGGATGATCAGAAAACCCCAAAAAGATGAAATGGTTTTGGGAGCTGTCATTGGTGCCATCCATCATCTCTCCTGTACCTGAAGGTAATAATAATAATGATAATAGTAAAAACAAAACAACAACAGCCAACACTGAGGGAGCACTTCCATTAAGCTGGGCAGTTTTCTAGGTTTTTTACATTTATTTATTCATTTAACCCTAAAAACAATAATATGGAGCTGGCGTTATTATTATCACCAATTTACTGAAAGGAAAGCTGAGGCATATGCATAATTAAATTGCCCTATCTAGGAAAGTTCAGGTGCAGAGCTGATATTTGAACCCAGGAAATCTGGTTTAGCATTGTCATCCTAACCACTAGTGGCAGGGGCGGATTATCCAAAAGGCAAGGTAAGCATGGTTCTTACCCTGCTTACTACATCATCTATAATGAACAATTTCACATTTTTTTACCACATCAAAGATTCTGCTTCCAAGTATGGCTGGCATCTGTCTGTCTCCCAACCCCACAGCACCTTCCTATAGAATCAAAGCCTCTTTTCAAATTTACAGTCCCTAACAAGGATGGGTTACCTACCCAGTAAGTACAGTAAGCACGGGCTTACTTGTGCTTATTTACTAATTTGAAACGAACAGTTTCGCATGGGATATGTAGTGAAATCCATGTGAAATTGTTCACTATAGATCAATAAGTAAGCACAAGTAAGCCTGTGCTTCCCTTGCTTACAGGGTAATGCACCCCTGACTAGTGATACGACCTCTGATTTCAAGGAAATGAAAGGTAAATTCTATCCTAGCAACCCATTCATTCTCCAAGATATCCAAGTTCTTGAGCTCTTGTGAAAACCTCAGAGACCCAAAATGGAGTCCCCAAATAATCAATTAATCAGGAAAAAAAAAAAGTTGCAGTAGAGTCAATTCTGACTCAGGGTGACCCTATGTGTGTCAGAATAGAACTGCACTCTATAGGGTTTTCAAAGGCTTTGATCTTCCAGGTATAAATCACCAGGCTTTTATTCCAAGGTGCCTCTGGGTAGATTCCAACTACCAAACTTTTGGTTAGCAGCCAAGTGCTTTACCATTTATGCCACTAGGGACTCCTAATCAATTAATATTATGTAGGAAATATCCATTATATGCAGAATACTTTACCTAGCTTTCATCCCAAAGACACGTCTCACCACATTTAAAGCAAATCATGTTTGAGCAGATAAACTACTAATCTTAGAGACAAATGTAAAAGAGTAGAATAAAAAATCTTGTTCTTCAGCCCCAAAGTTCTATGGTCCAATCCTTTGTCCAATACTACACAATTGTGAAATCTTGGAAAGTTCACTTACCTTTTCATAGTTTTCTCATCTAATCAGGCCTGCCTTACTTATTTTACAGATATGTTTTGAGGTTTTTAATTTTTTTTTAATATGAAAGAACGTTGTTAAGTACAAAAGTTGCTATGTAGGTTAAATAAAGCTGATGTGTCATACACAGCAAGGAATGGGAAATAAGCCCATAAGACTAACCAAGGCAATTCTGGAGAGAGGAAAAAAAAGCCTAATGACAGAAAACTGTCCTTAACAAACATCAAAACATATTTTGGAAACGTAATCAAAACAGTTTGATAACTAACTAGTCATTTATAGGAGCAAAAAGTGTGGACCACTGCTTCACTACTTACACCAAAGCAAATTACAAATTAAATATTTAAATATTGAGAAAAATACAACTACTATAAGAAACATGACAGGTTTTTTGATTTTTTCTTTATTTTGTTTTCCCCTCTGAACATATATTTTGGATAGGTACAACTCACTAGGAAAATTACAATTCTCAAAAAGCTATGAAGAATTTTTCTTAGTGGGCATTGAGTTTATGTTAATGGTGGCTGAGTGTTTTGAAAAACAATAGCAATAATGGTTGTACAACTTGAAGAGCGTAATCAGTGTCACTGAGTTGTACATGAAGAGATTGTTGAGATGGTGTATATTTTGGTATGTATACTTTCACCACAATTGTTGTAGGGGAAGAACATCACAAAGTCTAGTAAAGCAAAAAGAAAGTTTTATTCTGCGTATATTTATTCGAAAGGACAAAAGTAGGAAGCGGACTAGCATGCTGCCAGAGCTAGAATGTCTGCCCGAATCCAAGGAAATATCACAGAACAGACAAAAGTGGGAAAATGGACAAGCATGCTGCTACAGCTATGTCTGTCCAAGTCCAAAGAATATTACAGAATAGGCAAGAATGGGAAAACGGACAAGCATGCTGCCACAACCATGGTCTGTCCGAGTCCAAGGAACCATTACAGAGTCATCAGTATACATTAACATTACAAATGGGCAAAACCATTGAAAGCTTAGCCTTTTCAGTTTGGCTAGAAACTGTGATCCTACAATTTTGAACTGTCTTTCTTTACAATCATTGGTACAGTCAACAATCAAGAGGGTCTTCATTCGTCCAACAAATTTCTATTAACTAAATGCTAATAGAAAAAGAGTAGAAAGTCTTTTATGTTCTGTTTGATTGGCTTTATGTGAAAGTTTCCTTAAAAGATATTTTCCAAGATTATCTTAGCTATTGTCTTTATACCTCAGGGTCCAGTTGATGTATCCTTGTGAGTCCTTGTGAGCTCAGCTCCAGCTGGGTCACATTCTCTATGCTGAAGGATGGACAATAATAACTCCAATATTATTTCCTAAATCACAATAAAATTTAAAAAACTATAAAGCAAAATATAAGAAAAAAATTGATTGCATATCTAAAAAGAATCTACATTCAAGGAAGCACTACAAAGTCTAAAGATTGATAATAGAAATTCGGCATCACAATTGAAAGACTACCTTTACTAACATTTTTTTAATCACTATGAAAAACATGAAATCAAAGAAAAATAGGTAATAAGTTGAAGAGGCAGATAACAGAAAAACAAATGATTTACAAAAAATGTGACTTATAAATACTGGAAGTATTCTCAATGGTGATTAAGAAAATGAAAATTAATACAGAAACATAAATATATTCAATATTGATAATCTTAACAATATACAGGACTGAGAAAGTGTGGGGAAAGGAGCACATTCTCATGAACTCTTGTGGGAGTTTACTCTGGAATACTATCTTTGGAGAGATCATAAAAAAAATAAAAGATCAATATTTAAAATACACATATACCTTACCATTGCGTATGTTGTATCAACAAAAGAAACACTTGCCCATAATAAAATTTAAAATTCCATTTTTTGACCCATTAGTTCTGCATCTAGAAATATGCCCTGCATTTATTAGCTTCCCCTATAGGTAAATACACATCCTAAAGAATCTTCATTCTGTCATTGTTTACAATAGACAATACTTGGAAACAATGCCTATGTTTATAGTTATAGAAATGATTTAATAACCACACCGTTAAGTACTGGATTCCTGTTATTGAAAGAGAAACTGAGGAACAGGAATGGAAAGATTCCTCTGAATGTATAGGAACATTCTCAAAGGTCACTGACCAATGTAAAATGAACGCAAGAATAGATAAAAAGAAATAATGTGGAGACACAATGACCATAAAGACGAGCAGATTCCCCCTTGTGACAAAGATATCTAATAACCATAAACTAGCTCAGTGTTTATCTTGTGCAAAGAATTTAACTTTAGGCAAATTTCCTTGCTTCCTTAGAGAGAAACCTTGGGATTCCCTATCTTTATTATTTTAAAAAGGAGTACCTGGATGACACAAATTGATAAGCTCTACTAGCCCAAAGGTTGGAGATTCAAATACACCCAGAGGCACCTGGGAAGATGGGTCTGATGATCTTCTTCTAAAAGCTCACAGCCTTGGAAACCCTATGGAGTAGTCAGAATCTACTCACGGCAACTAACAACAACATTATTTTAAAACCTCCAGACTACAATTTAGGATTTGTCAAATGAATGGAGCCACAGAAACTACCCAGTAACCTGAACTCAGCTATTTCAAAAAGTCTCAACAATGAATCATGTTGAGACTAGCTACTGGTTAATTTTTTGTTTCCTCTTTTCCTTAAAAGCCTTATTGTAACTAGTCTCCGCTGAGCCATTAGCTTTTTAGAAGCAAAATGATCTCCCTGTATGCATACAGAATAAGTGCCCAAATAAACCCTACATACTTTGGTGCACTGATTATTTTTTAACAATACTAAATAGGAACAAGTGTATGTATATGACTTCATCTAGTGCAGCCGCAGTAAATATTTTATATTAATTTCAAACAAGCGGAAAGCAAAATATAATATATAGTGAGAATATATACAAGGTGACACCATTTTTGTAAAAAAACTATATACATATATAAACTATATACATACATAGGTATATATATATGTATTTTTTACAAAAAATAGGGTGACTATGTATATAAAAATAGTATCTGGAAGTATGCACTTGAATCTTTAAAAAGGCTCACTTCTAGAGAACGAGATGGAGTTTAGGGGAGACTTTCATTTTTACGTATTTCCTTCTTTATAAAATAAAATAATCAATAACATGAATTAGTTTTTAGATTAAAAAAGAATACATATATGTATGCAAATATAATGTAGTATAGTATATAATATAATATTTAGGAAATTTCCTTAGAAATTATTTCTTGAGTTGATTTAAATATTCTATTAACTTTGGCTTTCTTTCCTTTTCAGTGATTATTGCTGCATCCCCCTTTATTTATTTACTTTGTTATTATTAAGAAACGCAAAAAGAAAGAAAGAAGGAATAAAGGCAGGAAGGCAGGAAGTGAAAAAGACTGAAGCAAATTCCCAGTCACCATGGTAACTCCAGCGTTTTGAAACAAACTCTCCCATCATTTCATGTTTGTGTATTTGAGCATCCTATGAAGTAAGAGAAAACTGAGAATGAGCAGCTGAAAATAAGACTGAATTCAGTGAGAGGGCATGAGTTTTATTTTCAGGATAAATTGCGTTCAAATCTCCTTCTGAATCTTAGTGTTTTTAGCTACATTACGGAGGGGAGGGGTAAGAATGATTTCATGGGAATGTTTGTGACAATTTAAAGGGAATGTTGATGCTAATGCCTCACCCCAT